GCGCCTCTCAATGATGATACCGGCGAAACGTCTGGGAATGTAGTATTTCAGAGGTCCGATCTTTGAAACAATCATCAATACTCGAGGGCAGAGGATGCAGGACTAGCTACGTTCCACAAAGTCTCGCCATTGCTCAGACCAAATTCCAAAAACGAGATTAAACCAACACTATGCAGCTAAAGATGACTACGACCAAATAAAAGACAACACCATCTTGGTCTTAATATCTACTACGTAAAAATGATAATGCTTTGATTGGCGCCAAATTGATGATAATTCAAGTATGGCAAGTAACTGGACAAGCATAGAATACCAGGCCCCCATAGGCTTTTAGTTTTTATTAAGCTCTCCTGAACTCTGATACCCTTGTTTTCACTCATGGGAATTTAAGATGGTGATACTTTTTATCCGACTTAGGGAATAGCTTCTGCCATTTATACTCAGCCTAAGCTTATTAACACAGCTTTTTGTGAATACAAACAGTCATCCAATACTACACATCTTCATTAGTAGATGCTTGATTTGTGTGATTTATTTATTTTAATTTAAGCGTTCTAGTTATCTGAAGACCGGGTAAGCACTTTTAGCTCAACAGTGAAAAGGAATGCAAGTCGCATTTAAGGTGGCAACTCACGTGATTTATGGAAAATGTATATAGCATCTTGCTGGTAGTAGCAGTCCCTTTCTAGCTATGGGTTACTCCCACTGGCATAATGTTTCAGACCTGGTACACTAAGTACATTCGCCACTCCTGTTAGTCAATTTTGGTTAATCTTTCCTGATGATGGATTCAAGCATGCAAGCCATTTCACCATCAAACTATTATGAGCAAGTCTAGTCGACTATACTTTGAACAGTCACGACTTACCTATCCTCCGGTACTTTTGTCAGTCCGGATTCGCTGGTGGAAGTATTCATAGTCATTTTAATCTCAGCTTCTGCCACCATCCTGGAGAGGCATTCATTGGCCCGCAAGAGAGATATGGTGACTTGGCGAACACGGTCCATGTCCGTCAGGTCTGAGCCTGTCGAGTTAATAACAGAGAGGACTTCTTGGGCAGCCTCCTGAGGGTCAGGCGGACCTTTACTTTGGCAAGTCCGCGAATGATCACGTGGCAGGCTTGTAGGCCGTGATGAGATGTAACGTGGCTGGTATGGGTGGCTATGAAGTGAATGTTGTGGGATTTTTAATGCTTATCAACAGTTATACAAAGATGATTATTATGCATAAACCAGGTGGCGATTAGACATGCCCTTGACTCTTCGAGTCCAGCTTCTTTGTGCTCTTGATTGAAATTAACTAGAGTTTACTGATTAGGTTCAAAGAACTAATTTAAATAGTAAATGGACATTTAAATACCTCCGGGACGGAGTTAGTTTTGTGCTATATATATCGTGACATAATAGCAATTGCGTTGAGATTGAATCGCAACGTATAAGCTTACAAATCCGAATTTTATGAGATTAATAATTGCCAGTCTTTTATCATCTTTTGCGTGATATTGCATGAATAT